CAAGAAACGAAAATATAGTATCGCTGGTTCTCTTGACTCATTTTCGGTCAATTGTTTTAGTAAGGTGGAAAAAAAAAATCAATTTCTCGACAACGAGTAAATGAATTCCGATCATATTTTTTTTGAAATGATGCGCATTGAGGCGCATTTTCCATTTTGGATTTAGATTGATTTTCGCTGAAATACAGCCACACGCGCAAGACTTTTCGACCACCCCACGCATGTAGCTGTTTTCACCGATTTTGGTTTTTCCAACATTGTCGTTACTTGATAAATCAGTGCTCAAAAAATACATTTGTAAATTGACAGGAATCTTGTGTGGTACCAAATTACTGCATTATGAGCCTGTAAATTAGAACGTTTGCTTGCTTCTAATTAACAACATCTTTTAAAAAGGGTTATTATTATAACAATGCGACTTAAAATAATATTTGGAACTGTTCAAAACAGTTGAATCTATTTGACTCTTCATAGTGTACAGTACTACTTGATATTCTTTTCGATGCTGCTAGCTTTAATATTAACGCGCAACTCAAGCTTTGGATAGGAAACAAGTCTCTTGGGATACAAAATTCTCAGTCTAGTCTTTGTTATCAGAAGTTAGAAGTGCGTAAGCTAATTTAATATTAAGGAATAGAATAGCTACGTAAACTAATTGGGCATAATCATATTCTATAAGAAGCGTTAAGATTAGTAATTGTATGAATAAGTTAATAAAAGAGCAGTCAAACAAAACTTGTGTGTCTTTTATGTTTGCTTAAGTGTAAACTTTCATCGTTATATGGTGTTTTTATTAGTGCTTTGTTATTCATATTATTACTATTTATATAATAAAATGCTACTCGGTAATAATTCATGGTTTTTTCGTAAGCTGGACCCACCATTGTTCAAATATACGCAATGGTGAACGTTCCGAAAGTACCACTGAATTTTTCGTGGTCCCATTTTATTGGTCATTTTGTGTAACATTAATATTAGGTTTGGGACAAATCGTTATTAGTATGTTAACTCCCAACAGTAAACTGACGACGAGAACGGTATTGCCTTATAATAATGGCTAATCTTGCGAACTACCTCTTTGGCAACGTTGACGAAGAAGGCCATCTCGACAATGTTGGATTGGATGAGGTACTGGGCTTCACGATCTATCTCTTGCAGATCAAACAGATCAGCTAACCCCTCCATTTACTAGGAACTGCGAGAATCCTTGCAGAAAGTGGCTGAAGAGGCAGAGACAAAGTTGTTCAGTAGGATATTTTTAGCAGAATCACTGGGTTTAGTTGAGAAAGACGAGGAAGAGTCTGAGAGAGTTGAAACACCAAGAACGCCCGTTGAATCAATCGTAAAACCGGCCGAAGATGCCATAGACTATTCGGACTTCGATACGTTATTTCCAGCATTTCGTAGCGATGAAGTGCTGAACTTTACGGAATTATTTGCTACGAAGATTACTAGAAAGAAATTGCAACAGAAAAATAAAAATGGTAAGTGCTGGGCATACTTTGTTGATTCGTCTATCCCCTCACCTAGGGAAAAGTCCCTGATTATGTTAGCTTTATTATCCCTCGCCAAGCCGATAACACTCCGGATTTCCTTTGCCTCATCTTTTGACTTTGTTTATAGCTCTTAATATAATTGTAACACAGCCTGTACTCGACATTGACGATCGCGTAATCTTCCAAAATGACGTGCCTCGGATACGAAAGGAAGTTTCTACCCTTACCGAAATATCCAATACAACAGATAATACTATTGTTCCATCAACATATGATATTTCAAATAAAGCGAATTCGCTACCCTTAAAGGTTTGCTTTAGTCATCACATTAAGGCAACATAATGAATCTTATCAGGTCGCGCTCACACAAGTTTGATATTGGAACGACTAGGACGAAAATAGAAAGCCGGAAAAGGAAATAGTTTGGAAAATACCCGAGAAGTCTAAAACTTATCTACCGGTAATGACAGTTTCTTGGGAAGATTACATTATTTGGTAACATAAACCATCACAGAGGTATTTCCAACGTGATTTGTGATGGGGATTCTATAAGTAATAAGCAATAACGTGCTGATCTGTTGTTTTATTGAAATTGGCTTCAAGTTGGCCCAACATTTCTCTTGTTCAGGTATTTGGTGGATAAGAGCAAATGACTGACACTCTATATTAGAGTAAACTCATATTTTCTGTGAAACTGGTCGTACCGTGTGCCTCACTGTAGAAATCTCTGTCAGCCTCTGATTTAACCTATCGCCAGTTAGAAGAGGACGACTGGTTAAACTCTGTATTATGTGATGAACCAAAAACAGAGTGTCCATTCACAAAGCTTATTTATGACTTAAATGACCCGAATATGCTGTTTGAGGTTTCGGCTGGTGAAGATTTACCCAAACCTTCAATTTCAGACCAAATGGGTAAGCAGCATTGATTGAATCCGCCTTGGAGGCCACAATGATCGTACTTACTTACAATTACTTTTCCTTTCTTCAGTAAAAAAGCGAGGACGGAGACAGACAAGACTTATAACAAAGGCAAGTCTATATCAGACTCTGCAGATATGTCGTTAGTGCGATTTTTCCATAGTATCTTGACTGATCACTCTAATTTAAACATAGCATCCATCGCTTGCTAGTGATATTGAAATATTAACACGAGATGAAGAATCGGATCCTTTCAATATTTCAAATGATCAATTGTATGATACGAGTACAGAGATGAGACAACAAAGAGTCAGACAAACTATTGGGCAATTAGTAGTTCAGCACTCGTTACCGGCTTTGAAATTAAAATCTCCTTTTGTATGTAAAATGGTGTTCGTGGTTTTGTTTGCATTGTTACTTCTTATGAGCATTTTGTTCACAAAAATTGGATTACCAGTTCAAGACAAAGCTGTCAAAATCGGAACTTCGCGCCTTCCATCGTCGGGCGATACAATTCCAAGTTGATAGGTTAATTACGTTTGCTCGGACCAAGCCCAAATCAAAGAAACAAAAAGAAAAGAGCACTATAGATATCCGTAGTTCACGTGACCTGACACTAAGAGACACTGGTACCTTCGTATTGCTTGAATATTCTGTAAGAAAAGAACGAAAACTGTTTTATGCAAATCAATGCCATATTGGATGTAATTTTTATTTATTTCTCACAAATGTCTGTTATTGCAGGAGGAATATCCGCCAATTATTTCTAACGTGGGAATGGGCAGTCTCTTGCTCAATTACTACAGGAAAATTGATGAAAATGATTCTACTGTGCCGAAAGTAAGTCTTATTATATGTTGAAATTTTGGTTTATACTCTCAGAATTTCGCCTGACCACCTCTTTAGCTCGACATTGGCGATGCTGTCGTTCTCGATGTATCCGACGCATCCCCATTTATGAACTTCGGGGACGTTGAACCAGGTCAAATAATTACTGCTTTGTACAACAATCTTGTAAGAGCGCCAGTATTCAAGCACAATCAAAAAGACACGGATTTTCTCGTCATAAGGTTCGTGAAAAGTATAAAGAGAAGTAACTTGCATCGACTGTAACCGGGGTCGGAAAAATTGACCGAGATAATTTATGCTAGGAATACATACAAGGGAAAATCCAAGTATTATGTTCGCGAAATAAAGAATTTATTTGTCGTTGGCCAGACATATCCTATGCAAGAAGTACCTGGGCCACATTCCAGAAAAATAACGAACACCGTTAAAAATCGACTACAAGTGTCCGCATTCAGACTCATAAAGAGCAGCATTGACCAGACTTTTAAGTTACGACAGCTCTCTAAACTGTTTCCTGAATATACCGAAATTCAGATACGCCAGCGTGTAAAGGTAAACATAGATTATTTATGTCATTCTTGTATCATAAAGCGCTGCTAATTTCTGTGACTTACTAAGGAATTCGCCGAACTTGAACGTAGAGACGATAATGGTGGTGTCTGGCGACTAAAGCGTAGTCTTCGTCTTCCTACTGAGGAAGAGTTACGCAAAATGTTATCACCAGAGATGGTGTGTATGAATATTATAATAACGTTTATTAGCATTGTTTATCATACTGACTGTTTTCTATTTGAAAGATATGTTTGTATGAGAGCATGTTGGTTGGCCAGCGACATCTACTCGATTCTGGATATGTAAAAACAGCTACAGGCGAAGAAGAAGGCAATGATGAATCTAAGTTATCTATCGAGGAACAGTTGGCTCCTTGGATTACAACACGAAACTTCATCAATGCTACTCAGGTGAGTTTAAATATATTTCAAGAACTTGTTGTCGATTATTTAAAAGGATTGTCCACATTTTAAATACTTAGCTTTAAATTACTAGGGAAAAGCAATGCTTAAACTTCATGGTGAGGGAGATCCTACAGGGTCAGACGAAGGATTTAGTTTTATAAGAGTGTCAATGAAAGATATCTTCTTGAAAGCGGGAGAATCTGTTGAAGAGAAATTAGGTATGAGTCGTTCAAGCGTTTTATGGTTTCAACAGATTGCTGGAATAATCGCTTTCTGTCTACACAATTAGCTGAAATTGAGAAGTTACCAAAAAACGCTCACAAATATAGTGTGGCAGAGCAGCAGCAAAAATACAGAGAGGAGGTAACTTAAGTCGAGACATTATGTGCAGATCAAATTGAAACCAAATCATTACTGAACTAAAACTGTGGTAGATTGATCGAATATGGAATGCTCAATATGCATCTTTAAGCAATACGAACGAGATTCCTTCAGATTCTGAGCAGAAGTATTCCCGATACAGAAGCAAACGACAACGATCTTTCGAAACGGACTCCAATCAAGTGGGTATTATACCGCATTTAGAATGACCTTACTACTGCTCTTCTCGCTGACGATCTCAATGTACAGTTAAACGATACTGAATTACGTGAGCGTGACTATTACCGGGAATCCCGCTCTCCATCAGTAGCTTCAATTGGCGATTTTAATGACTCGATATCAGTAGATGGAAGTATGGGATCTCGTGCTAGCTATGCATATGGATCGCATCGCAACAGAAAATTAATAATAAAGCGCTTGGTAATTGTTGTTATTTTTATTTTTAATGTTTATATATTAAATCGTGTGATTTACCCTCGTTCTAACTCTTAATGCAGATGAAATCAAGCGATGGTGAAGAATTATGGCATGTGGAAGAAGTTACAGATCCTGCAGTAATAAACGCTTATATTAGACATCGACAGATGATAGAAGAACAGGCAACAAGGTAATTATACATAGTCGCGGATAAATAGAGCGCATTAACCCACAATTTACCGCTTGTGTCACAGTGCGGAATTTCTCGAGCCAACGGACGACGAAGAAAAGAATAAACGTCTAAGAAAGAGGTATTATTTGTCATTCTACAAGAACCAGCGCTAGTCGAAGTTTGCAAGTTTGTTTACAACATCATTTAATATGTTATCAAAATAGAATACAAGATCAATTAGCAAAACTTAAAAGGAATCTAGAGCGTCGCATGCAACGGGCAGCTGCACGTCAAACAGTTTCTGGAGAAGCAAGCGCTGTGCCGCAAAAGGAAAAGAAGACCGAACAAGTTGTAAGAACTATCTCTTCATATACAACAGTATCCAAAGTTTTGGCAACAGCATGATGGAAGCCTGTTACAATATTTTCTGTTAGATTAAATTTCTGTGCTTTCTTTTTCTAAACAGAGACGATGTGGAAACTGTGGTGAACTCGGACACATGAAAACTAATAGAAAATGCCCAATGTATGTTCACTTAACGAAAGCTTCAGGACACATGTGACATAATTGATAAGAATCCAATGTTTTAAATAGTATATATTAATATACTTGGACTTTGTGCCATAATTGAACCTCTGAATTTTAATTTTAACAAGCCGTAAATAGATAAATAAAATTGACAATAAGAAGTTATACATACCGTGCTTCGAAGATGGTTGGTTAACGTGGTGAAAGTAGTTTTGCACGAAAACAGTGTTTCGTACATAATAAATAGTTGCAACCATCTATCCGTACTCTCATCCTTCCGCAAAAGTGCTCTTACTGACTTCTTGCCTATTACTGGATTGGCCCAACAGGTCTAATAGAGTAGTAATTTTTGAGGAAGCAAAAAGAGAATAAATAAAGATATTAAGCAGTTGTCATAGGCCAATAGTCCATAGACAAGCATCGCATGCGGTTTGAAATATTAAAATATCTGTAATCAGAAGATGTTCCGGTTACTATTCACCGGTTCTTGACAACGTCATTTATCTGATATTAATTATTAGAACGTCGTGATGTTGTGAATGAGAAAAAGCATCACCGTAATGTTGTGCCCGCATATCTGGGAGAACAAGACTTGAGAATTAGAGTTTTCCTACTGATAGATTGTACACGCGAAGCCTCAATATATTTCCAATAGCCTACAAGAAGAGTTTTTTTCGATCCTGTATCACCCTTAATGTCTAATTTATAAACATGCGTAAAGAATGTATCCGAAACTGAAGCAATTTGTAATAATAAAACGAGCAAACTCTACAATATATTCGCATATATTATGAATTAGTCTCGTGACATCTGAATAAGTATCAGGGTTTTTTGTAAGTAGACGTTCCACCAACTATCTACTATCCGATCGATAGACGATGATTAATTTTCGCGTCTGCCGATCATGCCTGATATGACCGTGGAGTAAGTTCCAGTAATTATTTTTCCACTTACCAAATTCTTTAAGCCAACTGCAGTTGGCAAGTACGACATTGCGCGATTCTTACAACATTCTAAGGTAAGCAGACTTTACTATAAAAGCCTAAATAGTGAACAATAAGGGTCAACTTTCTTATAAGCATAACATTCACAGTTTAATATAAAGAATCCGTTTTAGGAACTGAAAAACATGACATAATAAACCGTCAAAACGAAATTTCGGGAATTTTTCTCTTTTTGACAAACTATCAGGCTAGAGACTAACAATCTTTTCGACTAACGTATGGTGCTACTTGCTATGCTTTACCATAAAAGCCTCGTCCTTGTCAGTGTTTACAAACAGTTTCGGTCATATTTAATAGCCTCATATTCTGACAATCATAATGCTTGCCTTTGTCCTCCTTCCGCTATTAATATCGGAATGTGTCACTTTCAACTAAATATCTATTGTCAATACAAAACTGATTGCCTACATTGGAAATTATGCCAACAAGTAAAGAAAGAAACATACCAAAGTTCGCGATTTCCTGTAAACCATGTCGCTCTTGTTAACGAACCCCACAGAGTAAGTAAATAGAAACAAATAAACAATACCTTTATTGGAAAACAAACCGTCTAGTGTAAGGCAAACTGAGACAATTTCTTCTTCAGAAACAAAACACTTCCTAAATATCCTGTTACATTATGGAAAATAAAATGCACTGATCCAAGAAATAGAATGTACAAATGACCAAATACCCTAAACAAAGCACTTTACACCCTTCACGAATCATAAAACTAGTAAGTATAGTTATCGCGGCTGAAATTGGGGTCTTGGATGAAGGCCGAAAGGACTTTGCTACCAGTTTGCAAGAGAGGGTGACCGGCAACACTACATAAGACAAGACGCACTATTAGAGATTACCAAGTTATATCAAATCGTAGAAGGTGCAATGTTACATACATTTGAAGAAACCTCTCGAGCCCTTCGCGTCGTGTCTCAATCACTTCGTCTGAAAAACGGTTGGTGAACACTTTGCCTGGTAAAGGTGGAATATTCACCCTTGATGACTCTCGCTCCAGAACGTCACGGAACCATTCAAAATCGCTATAGCGCCTCCTGACAGATGATTTTTCAAGTTTAAATGCAGGAATATTCGTCTGTGACATAGCAAAACGTGTCAAAGCATAAACGTACTTGTAATTGTACGTGAAGGATAATGATCGTGAATCATAATAACATATTTTGTATATACTTACCCTACACACAATTTCGTAATCGGTATACATTTTCCGGCCAAAGCCTATAAAGGATTCAGACTGAGAAATTGCACTTAGTGCTTCTCCGACAACGGTCCAGTCATGTTCGGGAAGACTTACCATGAGTCTGCGGATTTCGTACTTCAATTTCGAGAAAGTTTTCAGGTACGCCATACATCTCTTCAATAGATTGTTCCTTAATTTGTAAACGGGATGTCGCCTCGAGCGCTTTTTGTGTGCTTGAAGTTGCCATGGTGTCGATAACGGAAGCAGAAAGTTGACTATTACGACACAGACGTTTTGTTGCCGCTAAGCAGAAATGGAGGAGCAAACGTCGCCACTAACATCGAATGATACTACCTAATTACTTTTTTGGTATAAAAATAGATGACGTTGTGGTCATCTGACGAATTCGACCTTTTCCTTTGTTATGTTTACGCACATACACACTCATTCTCGTTCTTCACAACTTCTTTATTATTATCTTTAACAGGATAATGTACCCAGAGAGAATGCATTGCAGGATAAGGTGAGGGGAATTGGTGATGTCGCTATAAATAATTTTAATTTTAGTAAGTCGTTTATTAGACACCCGGAAAGTAAACTATTTCTTCACTCAATGTCAACTATGCTAACGTTTCACTCTGCGCGGATGGATTTGTAACATTAATATCAATAGTAGGCATTACTACTATTCTCCGGAAAGAATCAAGGCTCCATCAAGCAATGGCCAGAGGAAGCGCCATCTTCATCTCGATCCTACAATTTCGGCATTTGTACATATCGGCTGCAGTTTTTGAAGTATAGGCCTCATTTTAATAACATGAACCCCTAATTCCTTTGCTTTAGCCACCAGACGTTGGCGAAATTGATAGTGGACCCAACAAAGCATATTACAAACGGTTTTTCGTGCTATCTTTCTTGTTTTTCGATTTATCATATCCGATACCTCAAAAAGAGGAATCAAATTCGCGAGTAAAAAATGCGACACTCTTTTTATGATTTTTCGTCGCATCTGAAGATTGTCTTATCAAGTCGCAAGGCCTTTTTCTTCTTACGTTTTGAACTAGAGGCAGCCTTTATAGAAAGAAGATTATCCATAGACGAATAATTTGTATTGGTGTACGAACGCCAGGGTCAATGGACCGCTTGGGTTTCGCGGAGTTGTTTTCGTTAGTTTTGCGAATATATGTGATCTTGCAATCGGACGTTATTCTGTGAGGAACAGGCAATTAGTTAAATAAATAAATCAATCAAAACAAAAAAAAAAAAATCGAAAAATAACAACCATACCTAGCAGTTAAAGGCTCATCGATAAGCGCTTTGTCATGTATACCTTGAAGCAGCACGAATTTGCGTTCACCCCATACGCATGATTTTTGAAGTCTCTTGTCCTCATGCTCATTAATGTCTTTTCCTACACTGAACATCCGTGTAAAGCTTAAGCTTATCTTCAATAGGTTGAGATTTTATCCAAACCCATCGTGATGGACCAATATTAATATGTGAATAGAAACGGGGAAATCAACTCCAGCGGACAACTGCATATCTCGACAAGCCCATCCACCGTTTCAATAGTTGCCTTTGAAGGTGATTTGGATATACTTTGATTAGCAGCGTACAATGGAGAGCTTCCAAGTGTTGTCGTTTGTTGCGTGCTGCTGTCGTCCTGATATTACCTTTTTTTTTTTTTGGTTCTCGTCGGGCGACTCTTCTTCCTTGCTTGATTGCAAGGATATCTTGGGAAAGTCCGTGTTCGCCGGAGGTCGCTTCGTTGACGAGAACCATGAGTTTAGTATGTGGATGAAGTTGCGGCAGAGTCGGTCACATGGGGTAACCACAATTTCCTGCCGCGACTTTTCCGTTCCAATAAAGTCTTTTAAGTTCTGACAAGCTGTAGGTTGGGAAGCTGAGGACCTCCTTTGAACCCTTTTTTTGTGGGGGTGGCGGCGGCGGTGTTAGCATTGAGGAGAGAGTTTATGTGTGATTTTCAAATAATAATGAGCAAAAAATTGTAACGGTTAAAGAATTTGGGAGATAATGTCTTTAAATACAGTATGTTTATGATTGTCGATATTTGAATGGCGAAACCGAAAACGCGCATGAAACATGCAATCTTATATGGAGCCTGTGCTTGCATTGAATGAAGCTATTGTCTACGGAAACGTTTCTGAAGCTTTGACTACGAGCATACAACTCTCTCGGCAAAACCAAAGCAAATCATTACGCCGACCATAAAGGTTCAGTGCGCGAAAAAAGTTTTTGGAATAAAATGCATAAATTTTATTTCCTTCCAATTACGCGCCTAATCAACTAATACGCTTTGTGCATTCTATGTAACACCGACAAAAAAACTCAGTCACATAACTTTGTTACTTGTGTTATTTGTTTTATTTGTTACACTTTTCGTTTTGTTATTAAAAATACGACAAGGTTTTGACTTAATAATGAGAATTTCACTGCACGTCATGCCGCTAAGCGGTCTTAAATAAAGAAAGTTTTTTGTGACTGGGAACTTCGATCACTATTATCACATGACAGAATTGCAATGAAAATGATTGCACATGCATGGGAAAGTTTATATAATATATACGTGATACAGTATATTATGCATTTAGAGGAGTTTCATTGTAGCATTGTTCAGATAAAGTGAACATAAAGGGCTGGAAATTTAACTGATTTATAGCTGTGGCTCATGCACAAATCCAGACTATTTTTAGAATCCATTGGGTGCAAATTTAGCTTTCAATATGAATCTAGTACTAGGGCTAAATCAACAATCTATATCATAATAATAAAAGAAGACAAAGTGCACAGCTACCTGTGATTTCTATGAGTCACATGGAGATTGCCATTAAAGCAATCAATAAACGTGAATTCTTTAGGCTTGCTAAACTACCGTATTTCTCCGACACGAGTTCACTCCTCCTGTTTTCTATCCACAATGCTATTAATTTAAATGTTTTATCTTGGGATTTGTTTGCCATACTACAAAACTCATGGTTCTCGTCAACGAAGCGACCTCCGACAAACACGGACTTTCCCAAGATATCCTTGCAATCAAGCAAGGAAGAAGAGTCGCCCGACGAGAACCCCAAACGAGGAAAAAGTAGACAAATAAAGAACGCAAAACTCCAAACGAGGAAAAAAACGCAATATCAGGACAACAGCAGCACGCAACAAACGACAACACTTGAAAGCTCTCCATTGTACGCTGCTAATCAAAGTATATTCAGATCACCTTCAAAAGCAACTATTGAAACGGTGAATGGGCTTGCCGAGATATGCTTATAATGCAGTTGTCCGCTGGAGTCGATACCCCCGTTTCTATACCAAAGATTCACATATTGGTCCATCACGACGGGTTGGGATAAAATCTCAACCTATTGAAGATAAGCTTAAGCTTTACACGGATGTTCGTGTAGGAAAAGACATTAATGAGCATGAGGACAAGAGACTTCAAAAATTATGCGTATGGGGTGAACGCAAATTCGTACTGCTTCAAGGTACACATGACAAAGCGCTTGCAAACATTATCTAATTTTAAAGACAAGATAATTAACCATCAACCACGAATCGGTAAAGTTCGTCTTTGTCATTTCGATCTCAAAAACATTTACGACAAGCGATAATAATTCGTGCGCAGAATTTTTCAAAATCCACACCCATCTCCATAATCCATCAATGCTTTCCGCATACCGTCATAGGCCTGTTATCACTCTGGACGACAAACGCGATCTGTGGCCTGTTCCTCACAGAATAATGTCCGATTGCAAGATCACATATATTCGCAAAACTAATGAATGGGAAATTATTTTCATGGGTTTACAAGACGCAAAAACAACTCCGCGGATGGTTCTGGTACACCCTTCACATGGTACTCTCCTACAAAAGGTGTAGGTAAAATTGGCCAATACGAATTATTCGTCTATGGATAATCTTCTTTCTATAAAGGCTGCCTCTAGTTCAAAACGTAAGAAGAAAAAGACCTTGCGACTTGATAAGACAATCTTTCAAATGCGACGAAAAATCAAACACCTGCAAAGTGAAGTTCATAAAAAGAGTGTCGCATTTTTTACTCGCGAATTTGATGCCATTGTCATTCCTCCTTTTGAGGTATCGAATATGATAAATCGAAAAACAAGAAAGATAGCACGAAAAACCGTTTGTAAAATGCTTTGTTGGGTCCACTATCAATTTCGCCAACGTCTGATGGCTAAAGCAAAGGAATTAGGGGTTCATGTTATTAAAATGAGGCCTATACTTCAAAAACTTGCCGCAAATGCCGAAATTGTGGGACGGTATGGATCGAGATGAAAATGGCGTTCGGGGAATCTTCCTCCGGGAATTTCTTGATGGGGCCTTGATTTTCTCCGGAGAAATCGTAGTAATGCCTACTATTGATATGTTGCAAATCCATCCGTCGCCACGCTATTATTATTTCGTAGGTGTAAACAAATAAAGAACGCAAAACTCCACGCTATTATTCTTACTATGGCAAAATGGGAGCACTTAATGTCACAAGAATTCATTTACGCGTGATTTTTAGTCAACAAATAAAAATATTGGATCTAAATACACAATATAATACTAAATACAAAATCTCGTGAATCTTAAGGTGCGCAATTCCATATTTGACTCCTCTTGTTGCATGTATAACAAAAGACTGTCAATATTATTGCTGGCTTCTGCCGATAATACCTTTCTCACTCTCCAGTTCCCTAATGAGCAATTGTAAGTGTTTTTCGTGGTTTTTTTAACATGGATGTCTCGTGTGAGAACCTTTTTTGGTAGTTAATTCCAGCATCTTCGATATTATTTGACGGCGACACGAATATGGAGCAAGCTTATAATAGGAAAAAAAAACAATATCACAAGACAAGGGAAATGCTCTTACAGTCTTTATTGAAAGAAACTGGTTATTCTGATTAGTTAATTGTATAAGAACTTCGTTATACAAATAAATTTGTCTAAATAAACGGTTTTATAATGCATGGTTTTATGAACACTTTGTTCAATGTTATATAGCACTTTATATATAAATCTTCGTTTATCCGAAATTATTTTGTTAAGAGCGAACTGGTTCCAGAAAATACTTCGCTATAAGCCATCTTCGTTCAAGTGAGAGTTTGTTAAAGTGAATTTCACTGTGCATCTTGATAACTCGGTCTGGTACTCAGCCTAAACTTGTTATGCCCTTGCAACACTTATGAGTTTTTTTTCTCGGGCAATTTTCCTGACAGAGTGCTTTTTGTATCAGTCTATAATATAGAGGACATTTTATAAATTATGAATTATTTGGTGATTGACACTTTTGCGTACACATAGATAATTCAAATTAAGATGCATTTTCTTTGACTATCGATAAGATATGCTGGCAAAATCACAAAGAAATCCTGTGACAATATTGTTCGGTTATTAAAAGCAAGTAAACTAAGTTTAACAACAATGGCTTTTAAACTGTTAAGATTATTGGCTACTAATCTGATACTTGTCAACTTTCTAGTTAATAGCATTTGCATATGACAGCAATGGCATTTTATTATGTCAGATGTCTTTACTTAATTGTCACTGTAGTACAAAGCTTGCTATAATTTCCCGAGTTAGGATTAAATAAAAATTCTTATGTTTTATCATATAGTCTCTGGTATCAAGTGATAAGCCGTTTCCTAAATAGGACATCATGAACAAGCGTCAAGTGAGGCTGCATTATAATCTTACGTTTGCGTATTGGCGAAGTATTTTCGCAATATGTATTAAACTGACGTTTTTTGTGTTTGGTTTTTTTTTTCGTTCGTAAAGTTGCATCGTCTTAATCCCGAGAATAATTGCAAACTACGTGTACACGTTCATTAATAATTGTAAGTGACTCGACTATAAATTTTATGGACAAGAAAGTAAGTAGCTGGCATTTTAGCAGAGGAACCGCGAATAACTTTAATATTACCAGATGGATAAATACACGTCCTGCAATACGAGTATAAAATATTCAAACGAATAGTGATTTGCCCGAACTGTGGCTTTTGGAATTACAATTACTGTCATTTTAAAGCCCAATTGGAACATTATTATTAAACCAATAGCAATTGTTAAATACCTTGATATGATATGAATAGTAGACCGTTCCATCGAATGTCCTGCGTAAACGGATAGATACGTTAATATTGCACTCGTTATATTACTTTATTAGTAGACCAACAAAATCTTTCTTATTACCGGAAGATTGCATCGTTTCATTTATTGGTGTATGTACTATTACCGACCTTTGATACAAAATGTTTAGTCTTTTCTCCATCAATAACGATATGGAACAATTCTTTCCTTTTCCTATAACCAGAGAAAGTAATATTATTAAATGCACACTGGCTTATACTTACTTCCATCATCTGATAGAAAGTGAATTCACCAATAGACAGACAGTCACTATGGGCGCACCAGCCGGGCATCGTCGATAAGGGCTATGGAAGATAGCTATATAATGTCAATCGAAGATACTTTGACTTTGACAGTTAACGAAATGTATCGAACACGGGGCGCGATAACGATACTAGCTCCGAGGGGACTAACGACAGATGTCCAGAGAACGAAAAATAGGAAACAGCTTTGCTTTTAGTATTTCTGACATCATGCCCGCAGAAAAAAATTTAATAGGCAATAAAAAATAGGTAATACTTCAAAATGAGCAAGACAAATTTAGTTTGAATCCATCCCGATAAATGTTGTTTTATTGATTATCTATGTACGTGATACATAAAGTTTGCTATCAAATATTGATCTCTAATATTGATGAAGCACTTATTAGACACCCATATCAAAGCTAAGTAAACTATTATTGTAGGTTTTCTTAATTATTGGTGCACCTAGCTGCAAGCATTGTCATGCGGTAACAAATAGATCCAAATATTAATGTGACGCATACCCATGCTTGCAGTGAAAATCATTTTAATGCATCCAGAACGAAACCCAATAAATCCACATGCGTAGCTTGCTAATGAAGCAATCTCATGATTTCATAAGATATGAGAACCAAAGCGAAGCATTCATGCGAGTTGAAGTACGGTACAGATACTCAACAGACAGAATACAATTATTATGATGTGTACGCGTACTTTGAACAATTGTGTAATGTTTGTTATTGCACGATGTTTGTAATGCATAATGTATGTGTCATATTAATGCAATCAGATAACTGTACCTGTTGACAGAGTTTGCTGTTTCACGTGAAAGTTACAATGTGAAATAGAATTAGTATTCGTTTTCAATGTAATCGACCAACCAAAAGCAAGCAAAAAAATAAATATTTTGTAAATACTTGCAAGGGCTTTCTAGCTGCAAAATTTTCTCCATCGGAAGAGTCTACAAGTACAGCAACACATTTTGCTGTAATTAATTCTTTTTGGTTATAAAATTTCGTAAACGTTATACATTTTATTCAGCTCAGGGCATACTTCAGCCCAGAGAGGCCTCTTGACAGGCCGGTCAGTTTACTTAAAGTTTGAAATTAGTCTTGTGGGTTCTTTGTTCTTAATATGTACTGCATGTAGGCGTCAAAAAAGTTTTTTATAAGAACAAGGACATTATTAATAGTCTTGTAAAATTCTATTTTAATAACATTACTTTTGGATAAACGTTCTCATGGCATGTGAGCAAAACAATACAAAACAATGAGTCTGATTCTTCAAGAAATTTGTGGTTCTCGTAATACTATTTGGCGGCATATCTATTTTTAATTGGGTACATACATAGTATGATAACAATTAATAACAGTGGTTCATTTACAAATAAGATAAAGTTTATTATATAAATACAACACATATGTATAATTGAAGCTTCTTCGATATATTAATATTATTGCAATGTATGAAGATAACTCTAGATTATCATTGGTAAAACGTTTGACACTTTCAGCGTGCCAAGAACTTCAAATCCAGATTACAGTGTCTTGTCTCTGATAAAGATGCGTTGCAAGATAAGATTATTATTATTTGTGCCACTCTTTTTGTATTGCTATCGCTATCTATATTCTGGTATAACATGGTACAACGAAAAGACTACAGCTAGCAGAATGTGATCTGCCATCATTGCTTTTGTTCGAAAATTAAGACTGAACGAACAGTGTCTAATTCCAATGTGTTTCTCCTAAAATCGAAACATACGGTTGATTTCGCGTACTTGTTCCAAATTTAGATCCAATGCTGAAGGAGATAAACAATAAAGAATGCTGAGAGAGAAACCCATCTCTTTACAATTCTCTTAACGAAATAAATGATATCATTCTTGTTGTTGATTGATGGCACAAAGAATTAGACCAATTAAAAATTTTATTGACCTGGTTACTATTACGTTGCTGAAACAATCTTCGCATATTTATGCAGGATTGTTTACAAGTCACCCAAAAATTGTGGCATATTGGTAGTGGAAAGATTCGGAAACCCAGCTTAGTTTGAGGTTCTTGTGTCCACATAATAATTACAATCGATTGAAATTTTAAGAAATTACTTCATGAATTGTGTTACTCTATTGATTTTGTACCCAAGACCGGGGGTCACTTTGGTTATCAATACTTTGCAAGTTTTATAAACTAAATTTAACCGAAGGCAATTATAAAGGGGAATGTTTGAAAGCAAAGAACCGGATTAAAACGGAGGAATTGATAAACTAACTTTTAAAACTGGTATGGGAACATCTCAGATGCGATCTTTCTACCAATCGTAGTAAAACTTTTATAGAATATTCGAATGAGAATATAAATAATTAGGTTCGACAAATACATTCTCTAGAACCCCTGTCAATCTCAATTAGAAAATCGTTATCGTACGTAAATAACAACGACCTTTGTATCATTTTTAAACTAATTGACTGTGCGCTTCGAAAAAAAAGATGTTGACGTGGCAATAGATTACATATACCGTATAATCATAAATTTCTTATATACTAATACTGCGACTTTATCGAACTACAGCATTAAAGAAAAAGAGTATTCAGCCTATCATTATTTTTTTCGGAGAGTACAGTCAATTGGCTCTAAAATGCCACAAGAATAGTTAGTTATACGACAACGATTTTAGTAATTGATTAACGGCAATTGAGTGTGGCATGTTCTCAACAAAGTGGCTTTTGGTTTCTCAGGAACTTAACTTAAGCAAACATAACTATCCTTGCGTAAACAGGCTCATCGTAATAACCTTGGCAGAAATTATCTCTATTAAATGGCAGCATTTTGGTTCATCAGCTAATTTAGAACAATTATGGACATTGTATCTATGCATCGTTACAATTGCACAACTGTCCAGGTAAAAACTTATTGCTGTACGCATATGTCACATGACGTTCGAGACAACTGAGTTCTGGACTGAGTGACTGGGTTCTGGACTGAGTGACTGGGTTCTGAACTGAGACAGATCCCGAACTCAGACACAACATGAACTAAAAGCCTCGGGTCCGCTTGTTTCACGATACAATTAATCGCGTAAAAATTTCGTTGACAATCGTGTGAGGAATGCATGGATGTTAATCTCATAGAAGTTGACATTGAAATTTTCTGCGGGAGCTGTATTGCACAATAGGGGTTGGATTGGGGACAAAATTTATGCAGCGGCATGGCGTGCAGTAAAATTCTCATTGTTACAATCAATCAAAACCTTGTCGTTGTATTTTTAATAACAAAACGAAAAGTGTAACAAATAAAACAAATAACACAAAAGTAACAAAATTATGTGACCGAGTTTTTTTGTCAGTGTTACATACATAGGAATAGAACGCACAAAACGTATTAGTTGACTGTTTTGGTTAGACGCGTATTTTGGAAGGAAAAGTTTATGCATTTTATTCCAAAAACTTTTTTCGCGCACTGTATCTTTGGAGCCTTTATGGTCGACGTAATCATTCCTCACTCGGACGGATTTGCCTTGGCATTGCCGAGAGAGTTGTATGCTCGTAGTCAAAGCTTCAGACCCGTTTTCGTAGACAATAGTTTCATTAAATGCAAACATAGGCTCCATATAAGATTGCTATGTTTCATGCGCGTTTTCGGTTTCGCCATTCAAATACCTTCAAAATCGTAAACACATAAACTCTCTCCTCAATGCTAACACCACCACCACCAAAAAAGGGTTCGAGCAAAAGGAGATCCTCAGCTCCCCCTACGAACTTAAGACCTTATTGTAACGGAAAAATTGCGGTATGGTCTCAGAAATTGTGGCTGCCTATTGCTACCGCGATCTCGTCTACTCCCTCCATACTACAAAACTCATGGTTCTCGTCAACAAAGCGACCTCCGACGAGCGCGGACTTTCCCAAGATATCCTTGCAATCAAGCAAGGAAGAAGAGTCACCCCAAACAAGGAAAAAAGCGCGAAATTAGGACAACAGCAGCACGCAACAAACGACAACATTTGGAAGCTCTCCATCGTACGTTGCTAATCAAAGTATGTCCAAATCATCTTCAAAAGCAACCATTGAAACGGTGGATGGGCTTGTCGAGATATGCTTATAATGCAGTTGTCCGCTGGAGTCATACCAAAGATTTGCATATTGGTCCATCACGACGGGTTTGGATAAATCCAGTTTGCTTTGTTTTAATTTATACAGTGGATACCAAAAAGTTTGTGAATTTTTCACATGATCACCCTAAATCCGAATAAGCACGAAAATTCTGATC